CCCCTCCAAACTCGTCCATACTTGGCTATAAATGGACTTACCGAATCAAGCTTCATGTGGACGGAACAATTATGATGCATAAGGCTTGTCTCGTCACTCAAGTAAATAATCAAGAATATGGTTTAGACGACGCAGAGACCTTCAACCCAGTTGCTAATTTACCAACCATTAGCATTCTTCTTACCGTCGCTCTCCACAATAATTGGCCAGTACATCAATTTGATGTTGCCAATGCGTTCCTACACGGTACTCTTTCTGAAACTGTATACATGGCACAACCTAAAGGATTTGAAGACTTATCTCATCTGGAACACGTATTTCATCTTCACAAGGCAATATACAGTTTGAAATAAGCACCACGACAGTGGTACACTACTTTTACTTCTTATCTTGTATCTATTGGATTTTATCATATCAATGCTGATCCCTCTCTACTTTTTTTTTTAGTCAAATGCATACTCAAATTTTTCTTCTAATGTACGTTGATGATATACTTCTAATGGGGAACAATCAAAAAGAAATATCCATGCTTATAGATAAACTAAGACATAAATTTAGCATGAAATATCCAGGCCATGCAAATGACTTTCTCGGTATAAAGATAGACTATATCAATCACTCGTATTTTCTTTTGCAAAAGAAGTATGCGTCATCTCTACTTCAGCTAGCTCAACTATATGATTGCAATTCTCTCGTAAATCCAACCTGCACAAAGCTATCATCGACACTCCCGGAATATTAGATTCTGTCTGATCCTCAGTTATACAGATGCCTCACCAGAGCACTGCAATATCTTACATTGACTCACCCTGACATCTCGTATAGTGTCAATAAACTCTCACAACATATGCATCATCCCCTCCCTCAACATTTCTTCTTACTAAAACGCCTTCTTCGATACATCAAAGGTACGTTAGAATACGGTATTCCTATTACTAAATCTAATTTAGTGCTTCAATCCTTTTCAAATGCCAATTGGCCGCTGACCTAGTCTCTCGGAGATCTACTTCTAGATATTGCTCTTTCTTAGGAGATTCCATCATATCTTGGACGGTTAAAATGCAACATATTGTTGCATGATATTCCAAAGAATCAGAATACAGAGCATTGGAGGCTCTGACCTCTGACATAATCTGGCTACATCGTCTTCTCAAAGACTTTGACATACCTCAAGAAGAACCAACATAAATGTTTTGTGATAACATGTCAGCCATTGTGTTAGCTAATAATCCCATGTTTCATGCGCAAACCAAATACATTGAGATTGATAAGAAATTTAACAGAGATCATATTCAAAACAACAATATCCTTTTCGATCAATACAATTGATCAAAAAGCAGATATTCTCACCAAGGCTTTATACACACCAAGATTCACAGCTCTATGAAATAAACTGACAGTTACTCTGCACCCATCAGTTTGTTAGGGAGTACTAGAGCATAATAACAAACACATCTTGTAATTAAGCTATGCTAGCTGACGTGGCATAAGATCATTGGTTGCTTGTATTTCATTTCTCTATAAATATGTTCTATGTACAGACGTGACAAGAGAGAAAAATATTAGTTCTTCCCTTTCTTTATTTTATATTCCACTGTTCTTGTTCTTCTTCGGGGAGTTCGCTACTTCCCTTTGTTTATCGCTTCTTCTTCCATCTTTCTTCTTGATGTAGAAAAAAATAATTATTAATTGAAACGAAAGAAATATTACTCCTTTCTGATTCTCTAGTTTGTCGCCAGGACCATTTGAAGTGGCAACTGACTGGCCTTTCCATTCTTTCATAGAATTCTGAGGAGATAAGGACAAAGCTATAAAAATGGCATTTTTGGTGCTAAAGCAAAGAGAAGATTGTGATGCCATAGAATCTAAATTGTAAAAATTATTCTTTTAATCTTATAAGAAATAACAACCAAAGCTATCTATTACCATATGTTAGTAATAAACAATAAAACAAATTCTATAATTTAAAATATTAATGCACACATCTATATTCATTCCAAAAAAATTATATACACTACTCATGATCTATACAATCATATCATAGTTATTCTATTCTGAGTACAAAAGAAAAAAAACAAAAAAAAAAAAAAACAAACAGAATCTGAAGAAACTGATCAACCTCATACTAATGCTCCCTTGGCTTGACCTGAAATCATTTAACCACAAATATTAAGCTTAAAAAGTCCAGCAAGCAACCAAAACCTATAACTGAAATCAAAAAATGGTAAAAGAGCAATATGCATTTCAATAGTCAAATTATAATAGTAGCATTCATATGATCATTGAATTAGTGCAAGAATAATAAAACTCAAATGCAGTAGCAATATAATCTACAAGCAGTGAAACACCATGGTACAATATCTAGTAAAGTAGTAACCTAGTACAAGTGTCAAATATATAAAATATTCGTTGTATCTGTAATATCAATTTGTACAAAAATCATATAAAGTATCAAATCAAATGACTAGTAATATTGTATAAATCAAATTAATATAGTAAAATCATATATGAATGTACACATGCAATCAAGTTATTCTATATCAATATAAAATCAGTATTTTACGTATTCAAGATATTACATACTTACTTTATAGTGAATCAGTAGTATCAATATCTAAATTGGTAACTATAAAAATTTAGTGGCATGAGTAATAGAATAATACAATAACAGTAAATTTGTATCGTGTTAATAAAGCCATATAATAATAAGAATAATACTTTAAAACATGCATTTCAGTAGTCACACTAAATAAGTAAGAAGTCATGACTACATGGTGTTTTTCAGTATCAGTATCAGTGTTAGTAAACTGTTAGCTCAGTAAATATAGTCATCACTCTTTGCCAATCGACACAGTAATAATCTTCTTATAACTCTCAGCCAATATATCACATGAATTAATAGAGGATAATACCAAATTATAATATTTAAAAGAAAGTCTATCAGCCCACCATCATGTACAAATCATTCAGTCTCCAACCAATGGATCAACCAGTTGTTACTTATTTGTTTCACACACATATTATTATCACAATATTATCATAATAATAGCGACCATCTACTACTCAAGTACATATCCACATCCATTTTTAATATATTGTAATAAATAATGTGTAATTGAGTTTAATTAAGAAGATGCTAAAATGTCATAATAGTATACAATAAGAAATCCTATTAGACAAAAATGTACATTTTCAAAAAATTACCAAATTATCAAGAATTATATAAAACAATATTTTAAAACTTTTATTGTACTACACCACTATTTGTAGAAGTTAAAATAAACTTTTGGGTATATGAAAATCATTGTATTTTCAAAATAACCCTATAAAAAATATCAAATAAATACTCAAAATACTCATAATCATGATCTTGAAATTGGTTTAAAATCCTCTATTAATTCCTTAAGGATTTTCACTAATGTCCAAAAATTATAAAAAAAAATCGTGTAAGTAAAATACTACGATCAAAATACTATAGTGAAGACGGATTGTAATTTGGAGTTATAATGAATCAAAAACAAAAAATACAAAGTTAAAATATGGGCTATTAGAAAGATATGGTTTGATTTTAATACTTATTTATAGACTATTCAAAATCTTGGTCCTTTTCATTCCATATTCAGAACAAGATGCATAATTGGCTTTTAATACTTATTTATGAATCTTTGTTAATTTATTAGGAACATAGAGTGATAATTTGTTGCAGTGACTACTGAGTAGTGATTATAGTTAACTTTTAATTTATTGTTATATATCCTATGTTAATTATTTATATTTGTTAATTTTTAGTAGTGAATAATGATCAAAATTTATTGTAGTGATTTTTTCAATCTTATGATTAAATTATTTACGTTTTTCTCATTCAAATTAGATATGAAAATACATTTAAAAAAAAAAACTCGGTGGGCGAAATTATAATATGAAAGAAGAACATCAATATTTAATGTTCTCAATTGTAAGTTTTTTTTTATCATCATTTATTCTATCTTTTTATAATGAATCTAGCGATTAAAAAAAAAATGTTTAAATAGCCAATGCTCATCCTAAGCCCAAATGAAAGAGGTTTTGGGTTTTTTTTAATTCAAAGATTTGTGTCCACATATGAAAAAATTCCTGACTCCACCATTGTATATGTTTGTTTTAGTAAGGAGATGTGAGAAGGCTAAGTGTTGTCGAGTTTGACTGGTGTGATGGTCTCGACGGTGTATGAATGTGTGTGAAGTCCATTATGAGAAGGTTCGTTGAGAAGAATCTAATTGGTTCATCAGTCTTTTATGATGTACATATATTTGTCAAAATGGGGTGAGCAAGAGTTATCAATGGCTAATTCGCAAAATAATATAATATTATATGATAGATTTGCAATGTGATGAAGGTGGTAGAAAAGGAGCTTAAGAGATTGTGTAAGGCTTCGTTTGAGATAATTTTTTTTTACTATTTCTAAAATAATTATTTAGTATAAAAATTTCTATTTCTAAATATTTTTATATTAGATAATTGTTTTAGAAAATGGTAAGAAAGCAATCATAAACAAAATCTGTAACAACCCAGATTCTTAATTATCGAGATATAGTATGATTCGACCTAAAGTGCCTCACAGTTTTATTCTATTGTTGTAACTTCTCAAGAGGTCACTCATCTCAGAATTTCTTTAAGATATATTTGCAGGGTCGGAAGAAAGATATAATACCTCTTTGGCATCAATGAGCCAAAACAACATATTAAGGATTTATTTTTTATTTTAAATATTTCATTTCTCTCATATTAATATATTTTAATTAAATTTTTTATTTACTATTATGGATGCATCGAAAAATAATTATTAAATTATTAAAGTTTCTAAAAGGATTCATTTTCCATAGCTTACTGGAGAATATTGTATTTTCACAACTATGAAATGAAACCACATATTATACATTTATTATTTATTAAAAATTATTATAAATTTATTATTTATTAAAATTTATTTAATAACTAAAATAAAAATTACTTGCAAGATCTGATTAAAACTTTTCCCCAATATTTTCTCTCAAACCCATCTTACAGAAAAAACCTACAAATTCAACCCTCTAATAGGAGTTATGACATGTTTTTTTACAAATACAACCCTTATGATAATAATAATAATAATAATAATCCAACATCTCAAATAGAATCAAAAAAATGAAAAACAAAACCACTCCACTTTACCAATCATCTTCTTCTTCACTACTCAACTGAATCAAATATTCAATCAAAATGGATCTATATCGTCCATTTCCAGACCTTCATCCGGAGCTTCACCTTGCAGCTCGTATCGAGCGTCGAAGCCGGCGGCGATTTCTTCCCCTTTGGCGCAGCGATCTCGATCCCATCGCAGGAGATCTTCATATCAACCTTCTTCGTCTTCAAACTACCAACCTTGATCACTGCCTTCGTCTCCATGTAAAGCTCCAATGGAACTGTGGCCTGTTTCAGATCCGGTGCCGTCGACGCCGACGAGCTCATCACCGTCGTGTTCTTCGCGCTATGAACAAACCCCGGAAACGATCCCTCGCCGATTCCGACGCCGTTGGATGAGATGGAGACCGAGATCTGGTCGTAATGGTAAGCGATCCGACGATTAGGGTTTCGCGCTGTGACCGTGATGTCGAGGAGGGAGGTGAGGTGGGTGGAGGAGGTGGTGTTTAGGGCAGATAGGCGGAGGGAGGAAATCGAGAAGGTTGGGCTGTGGGGACGGTAAATCGCGTAGAAGATGCCGCCGGCGATGGCTGCGAGGAGGATGAGGGAGAGGACGGCGAGAATGACAGAGCAGAAGCAGCCGCGGAGCTTTGATGACGGCGGCGGAGGCTGAGGCCGGTATATGGGGCGATTGAAGGGCTGGCCCTTCGAGGCCGAGAACGGAGGCGGGGGATTAGGTTTTGCCGGGTGGTATACTTTGTCGGCCATTGCAGGTTGTGGTGCTTGCTTGTAGATTTGGGAGGGGTTAGCGTTAGGGCTTTATGGTTCGAGGTGTAGGGGAAGGAGAGCATTGTTGAAGTCTTGAAGAAGAGATTGCGAGGCAGGAGCGATGGAGAAAGGAACAGTTTACCTGCTGGCGATGCTTGCTTTCTACCTTACTCAGATTCCTGCTCTTGTTATAGTAGCCTGGCAGGGTTGCGGACCCCTTTTTTTTCCTTCCTTTTTTTACAAATTTGTGAGCAGGAGCTCATATATTATGAACTTAGAAGTTTACAAATACATAGGATGTAGAATTAGTAAAAGAATTACAATGAAAATTTTCAAAGTAATAAATTTTTTTTTTTAACTTTAGTCCAATTAATACAAACTCTCAAACAAATCTTATTCCTAACCTTCAAACTTAGGACCCCATAATTGATAATGAAAGCTCCCAACCAACAGTTAAATGTGAGTTGCGTGGGTACAAACGAGTCAAGTTGAGTTAAAATCAGAGGGTGTTCGAGTCAAGCTTGACCGTTAAATATCGAGCTCGAGCTCGAGCTCAACTAGTCTCACATTGAGCTCCTTCCCGAATCCACTGTTGAGCGTCGTCCCGAGCTACGTTGTCCAAGTCAAGCTCCGTCGTCAGTCATCCCGTCGAAGCCGTTCGTCATCCTGTCGAGCTCCGTTGTCCGTTGTCCCATCATGCTCCATCATCCGTTGTCCTGTCGAACTTCTATGTCTTTTGATTTTCTCGCCAGGCCTTCGATTTGTCTTCCCGCCCACCGAAACCGAAGTTTCGTTTTTCTGCCCCATCACCTCCACGAACTACTCGACGAGCTTACAAATCGAGTGGAGGTCAGTTCGAGCTCAACTTGCAAGCTCAATGAACTCGACTCGTCGAGCTTGTTACACCCCTAGAGCCGCATAAGTAAATAGATTGACAAAAATGATGTACTTGTGCGAGACATCAAGGCCTAGTTGTAGGGTGTCCTCATATAAGTGGTCTGCGATTGAATGCTCATCCTAAAAAAGAAATAAGTTGGACCGTAAAAAAATTCCAAATTCCGAGTTAGAAGACCTCAAGCATGATAAAGAGTGCCTAGAAATAGTATGAGATAGCCATGCAGATTAACAAGACCCTATAGAGATCATTTCTCAGGGTACTAAGCATGGGATGGTTCATAATATTTTAAGCTATCTAACACCATCTTTAATCTTATAATACCAAGTCCACATTCAATAAAGGCTGGTCATATTCTTTGGCAAGTTTGGAGAAATGATTACGTACAGATTTCAAACTTCATAAGCCAATCAGAACGCGTCACATCATTCAATATATTTGTGTATTGATGATGTGGCGCTTTGATTAGCCTCCGGACGCCGTTCGGCATCCACACATAATAATTTCTCCATATTTTAAGAGATTTTAAATTTCATCATTAGGTTTGCCACACATGGCTTTGTTTGCAATGGTTTAGAAGCATTGTAGCCAAAAGAAATGTTATTCATCCTCAAACTTAACAAATGTAATATTGTGAGATGAATTTTATAGTCATATATCTTCTTCTTCTCTTGCTCCATTTTGATGTCATGCTCAAAGGATGGCTTCCATGTTCCCTTACCACCCTTCTTTGCCCTTGTTTTCTGCAAGTATTGTAAGATGTTGCTGATCTGAGTAATATTTTAAGAATGCAAAAAAAAAAAAAAATCCAACAATCAACTACATAATTTATCATATTTAAGTTTCGTTTGGCAGCTTTCTAATATAAAAATTATTACTTCAAAATATTTTTTTACTAAAAAATTATTTTAGAAAGTAGTAAAAAAACATACTTCAATCGAAACTTTAGAGAGAAATTAATCACAAAACTTAACAAATGTAATATTGTGAGATGAATTTTATAGTCATATATCTTCTTCTTCTCTTGCTCCATTTTGATGTCATGCTCAAAGGATGGCTTCCATGTTCCCTTACCACCCTTCTTTGCCCTTGTTTTCTGCAAGTATTGTAAGATGTTGCTGATCTGAGTAATATTTTAAGAATGCAAAAAAAAAAAAAAATCCAACAATCAACTACATAATTTATCATATTTAAGTTTCATTTGGCAGCTTTCTAATATAAAATTGTTACTTCAAAATATTTTTTTACTAAATAAATATTTTAGAAAGTAGTAAAAAACATATCTCAATCGAAGCTTTAGAGAGAAATTAATCACAAAACTTGGGCACAAACAGGCTTCTATGTTCACCTATCTGCATAAAATTAAAATAGATGTACAAGTTAGGCTTCATTTGAAACGACTTTCTTATTGTTTGTTAAAACTATTTTATAGTACAAAAATTAAAATTTTTGCACTAAAAAGCTACTTTAAGAAGCAATAAAAAAGCCGTGCCAAACAAACCCTTAAACTTATTAAATGGAAACATGGCAAGAACTTAAGGATATGCACAGTATTTTTCTTAGTTTCTTAGACTTCGTTTGAGAATACTATCTTCTTTCTTTTTAAAACAGTTTTTTCAGTATAAAATCTTTTTCTGGAACCCGAACCCGACCCATTTTGAAATCGGGTCGGGTTCAACCTGCATTTTCCGGGTCGGGTCCAGGTCGGGTTTTCGTGTCGTGTCAAATATTGACACCCCTAATCAAGAGTACAATATTAAGATGAAATTATCTATGTATAGTGAATTGGGGAACTTATTAGCCCCTCCCGAGCTCTAATGGTGAAGTTGAGAATTGCGGGTATATTTGGGGGCGTTGTAGTTTTTTATTAAGGTGGTTGTAAAATTATTATGGAGAAAGTATATTTTTTGAAAGCTATTGAAAAATCTGCTTCTTACTACAAAAGTTCTTGGGAAGCAACGAGAAAGTAGTACGTAGCTAAAATGAATTATAGTTTCAGTATGAAAATCGTAGAAATAAAAAAGTTGTTCCAAACATAGCTCTTATTCTAGAAACTTCACATGGAAAGTAAATCTTCATGAAGCTCTCTAGACTACTATTCATGATGAAGCTTTCTATGTTGGTTTCATCTATCTAGTAAGGTAGAATAATGGCCTTGCTCATGGTAGGCTATCGTTACCCTATTTCGTAATATGCATTTTAATAGTTTACTTAATTGAATTTTTTGCAAACATAGATTTACAGAGAATTTAAAATTTTTACAATGTAAATTTCGATATAACAGTGGAGTTAATTATTATAATTATACTAGCATATTTATATTAAACTTTCATTAGATATTAATTCTATATTATATGACATTTTATTTATTTTTTACATATGTAGATCCTAGTAGAAATTGAAACAAAAAAATCTTCAAAATGATCTAAAAAGTATTATATATAAATGATTTCATTATTTATCACAATGTACAAAAATTTACTCCTAAAATCATACTATTTCATCCTATTCATAGATTTTAATAAATTTCTATAACATATTATAAATTAATCATACACATTAAAAATGTTAATATTTCTATATATAAATTGCATATGCAACAAGAAGATAATGGGTGAAAGTACATGTTGTTGGTTGTTGATACCCTAATCTTAGACATATATATGTTAATGTACTATATTTTGTCATAGAATTTGAAAAATATTATGAATTATTTAATTAAAATTTAATATTTATATGTGAAACTAATGTAAATAACAAAAAATTTCTCAATCAAAAGATAAAATAACACGTAGAATTCATTTATTATATATTCTTAAGGTTAAAATTAATGATTTTTAATCATTTTTAAAATATAAATAAAAAGATTTTAGTACATTTGGTAGCCCCACCATCCCCCCAAAGAGAATGACTGATAATTATATGCTATATCACATTGATCATGTTAATTAAGAGGGCCACTTAAATAGGATTACCTACCAGTTTATGAAAGATAAAGATCACCTAATCCCTCAAAGACATTTGTGCTCCAATTACCAGAACTTGCTGACATATCTCAACGGTAAAATCAAGTGAAATATCAGCCTATTGCTTTGAAACCTCAAGCCTCTACGTACATAAGGCTAAAATAATCAATGAAATCAGGAGTTGGTGTAGTTTTTCATATATATTATTACATACATAGAAGAATGCACAGTAATATATATATATATATATATATATATATATATATATATATATATATATATATTAGTAGAACTTTCTCCACAAATAGATATTTTTTAACTAGAATTTTTTTACTAAAAACTAATTTAGAAAGCAGTAAGAAACCTGTCCCAAATGAAGCCTATAACATCTCATAAAAAGCTATGAAATCCTATATATTCTCGATTATTTTTTACATCTTGCTTTGGTTGGTTCAAATTTATGTTGATCGAATTCGATGAATCTTTGGAAAAGTTTGTAGGGATCATGCTTAAAGCACAATTGTTCGTGTTCGACTCATATTTGACTGGAATTTGATTCGAAATATAAGAAAATAAATAAAATTCAATGTTTTTTAGGTAAATTAAATAGAAAAATATACCTAAATATAAAAAATTGCATGATTTACTATTAATTAATTTGTAAATATAATAACAAATTAATACTCAGATTTTACATTACAGACTTACATATGAGCAATAATCATAGTGAATAAATAGTGAAGCCAAAGAGCAAACAAGCATAAAACCTTATGAATATTGAATAAAAAAGATTATTATCACAAGTATAACAAAGTTGATTATAGCAACTTTAAAAACTTTAAAAAATGAATGAACAACCTTCAATTATTCAAATCCATTGATAGACAAAGCAGAGGGAAAACATCTAAGTTAATTATTGTTGCAACATTAAAGTGAATGAACAACAAAAAATAAAGACTTTGCAACTTAATGGTAAAATAGTTTAAGGAGAAGAGCAAGCTGAATAACCTCTTACAATCAAAAGGAGATGACATCAAGATTATATTAAAGTTTTATTTGGCATAATTTTTTAGTGCTTTCTTAAACAGCTTTTTAATACAAAAATTTCTTGAACTCAAATTTTTTGTACTAGAAAGCTACTTTAGAAAGTACTAACAATGCTGCACCAAATGAAGCTTAAGGCTTTATTTGAGATGGCTTTCTTATTATTTTGTAAAACTATTTTTTAATATAAAAATCTTATAAATAGAGAAAAAAATAGTTGTCTAAAACTGTCACAAACGAAACCTAAAAGTAGCAACCTTTCAAACGGATGGGAAATTCTAAATAAAAAATACTTATTAATGAAATGAATATACCTTTCAAACGGATGAAATTTAAACAATTGAATTGAAAGA